AGGCCCCTTCACACTTTGTGATGAGCATGATGTATGTTTGGTCTGCGTTGAAACATTGATTGGGCTAGTCATTATTATTCTAGCATTCTGCTTCGCTATCTTGTACTACGTGAAGGAGGTCAGTCCCGGTCAGGTCAGGACTTGTATCTAAAGTCTTCCTTGCGCTGTAAAGCACCATTTTGTATGTATCGGAATGCACATTGCTTGTTGAGATTCCACTTGCACTGCATTGTCCATTCAGTCCTTTTTATCACATTGCGGATCCTCGGTTTATATGTACATCGCCCAACTGGGCATGTAACACTCAAGTACACAACGCAGATTACTATCAACATTTCGAAGTCCCCAAAGGGGCACCAACAAATGTTCCGGGGGCTTCCAATTCCAAGCTTGGAAGTCCCAAAGATCAGCCAGGAGGACCTGGCTCCTTTCCCATTCCGCGGAGCATCAGTCTGGTTCCTTTTTCTTTTTTTTCTTTTTTTTAAATGACCTGTTCCACCGGCAAGTCAAAAGAAATACATATAGAACTCCCACGCACTCTTCCCCTTTATGGTAGTAAAGTCTGTGGAACGACATTCTTCTTGATTTTTTTCTTTTTGTTTTTTTGTGAAAGTCCTGGGGCATGACATTCATACTTGTTTCCTATTTCCTTACCTGTCGGAATTTGAGAGCATCTCCCATGAGGTGCTTGGGAACCGCCTCATGCACGTAGCTTGCTAGCTCCAATGTGGGCTTCTCTCTTAGTTTGTCCATGAATAGGCTCATGATGTCGTCTAGTTCCCCACGGATGTCAAACTCTCTCAGGTCCAGGTCCATGTGCCCTGTCTGTTAGGTCAAGGCAGAAAGGGCCATCCCATCCACCCAATGCACACCCCACATGACCATGGGAGAATGGTCAGCATTTTTTTTTCCCTTTTTTCTTTCGACGAAAGGTTCAGAGCGGAAGAGCGTCAACAACCACATCTGCCCACGCAAGTAGTGTGCAAGTTGAGACAAGGGCAAGTGTGTGGGGGAGGCAGGTGCGGCTCCCCACCAATACAGCATCTAGGTTGACCGCTAAAAAAAGCATTAAAAAAAAAAAGGAAAAAAAAGGGGGGAGGTATGTTCCTGCTCATTTGTCTTCAGATCTTCAGCATATGTTTTGCCTGAATGAAAGGCCCCAACAACAGAATTTCACCGTGTCATGTCGTCTATTTCTGCACGAATGCCAAACTCTGTCACAAACCTCCAGGTCCATGTGCCCTGCCTGTTGGCCCAAGGCGGAAGGCAACATCCCATCCACCCAATGCACACCCATTTCATAGTTAAAGGTTCAGTTYTTTTTCCTTCTTTTTTTTTATGAATGSATCATCTTGGAAGARCATTCCCAACAACGACTGCGCAAGTCACGAGCAAGCTGAGAGTCTGGAGACAACGGCAAAAGCACTCATGCCCTTTCAAGAGGGGTTAACCCATACTAGCGATGATTGTTTTTATCAACACCACTAGCACCCACAAGAGATGGTTCTTTTTTTTTTTTATAACAAGAGATGTTTCCCGAAGGAAAAAAAAAAAGGGTTAACCTTAACCCGCACCATCTTAAGTCAAGAATGACATCAGAAAGGATGTCTGAACTGTGAGATGTCTGAATATCTGAAATGTACGGAGGGGGGTTGCGAAGGACAAGAAAGGGCGCAAAGATCCCCAGCAATAATAGACTGGAGCACCAGCACAAGGCCTGCGTGAGGTGGCTGCCAGTATCACCTTCCCAGACAGGTGTGAATCTGTTTTTTTTGGGAAACAAGAAGACATTGTAGTATTGTACCCTTGTGCAAGGAAAATGAGCAATAGCGAAATGACAGAATTCCACAATGCGAAATCACATTGAAAGCCAGTCCAACGCTGTCCAGAAAGCAGAATTGCACCGATGTATCACCAATAGAGAACCAAAGCACCGAATCTGAATGTCAATGAGAGCATACTCTCACCTCACCAACATAAGTATCCAGAGCCTCTCCTCCTACTTGGCGCTCAGCGCCCAGACTACTATCACGTGTGATGCACAACCTCACGCCCCGCGCAGCGTTCCGTACTTCGGACGCCGATCAGAGTTAGTAGGGGTGTGGCCGAGTCATCCGGACGAAACGGGGGACTCTTGCTTCGGCCCGACGTGCTGGGGCGAGGATTCGGGTTGTCGCCGACGGCGGATGATGGGAGGACGGTGTACTACGGCCCGATCTTCATCCTTTTTCCGGAAAAAGAAAATAACAGACGAGAGGAGAGGAGACGAAAGGCGAAGCGGACGGCGGCGGAATTCCGTTCCCCGAGGCACAGGGTTCGCGCGGGCCTTGGGGGTGGTGGCCCCGAAAATAGGTTCAGGCTTCGTTGTCGGACTCGTCTAGTCCGTGCGAACGGCGAGGCACGGGCTCGCCCGGGGTCGGACAGGTTGAAGGAACCCAGGTTCGAAAATGGGCAGGGAGCGAGCCCGCGTTACGGGAGAGTTCCGGGAATCGGGTAGCCCCTTCGTACCCCAGGAGCAACCGTCTCCACGAGCACAAGTCTCCCTGGCTACAACAGTGACAATTAAACTGCGGTCGCCAGGTGGCGTGCACGGCAGACCAAGGCAACACTGTGAGGTCGGTGTACGGTAAAATTAAAGGTGGGGAGGCAAATCGCTTAATCAGTGCAAACCAACTCCCGCCTATATGGCATGTCTGGGTCGGGTTATAAAGGTGGATTGGCTCAGTGTTGCGCAACAGGCTCCGCACGTCCGCATCGCAGTAGATGCAACCGCCGTCTGCGAGCGGGAAGGGTGGAAGCGCGCTGCGACGCTCTGAGGCCAGGTCCGAGCCTGGGCGACGGCCTGCGCTTCCGTCCATCGAGACGAAACCTGACTCCATGCAAAGATCAACGAATGTCGTTGAAGAAGGATGCGCCCAACTTTCTTTCTCCGTCTCTTCTCTGTATCTTCAACCTGAACGCGGTGTCGAGCACCCGGATGGAGAGAGAGAGAGAGAGAGAGAGAGAGAGAGAGAGAGAGAGAGAGAGAGAGAGAGAGAGAGAGAGAGAGAGAGAGAAAGAGAGAGAGACGGCGAAAGGAGGTTGGTGCGTATCACACACACTCGCGCAAATAATCAAAAAGAAAGGGAGACGGGAAGGACTTACGCAGCCATGCCCTCATGCAAGCAATCGACACTCGATACCTCGATGCTTCCGTTCATCAGGCCCAGAGGCGCATACACACACGCATACCCATAGAGTCTTCAATGAACCATTCAACACCCATAGACTTTTCTACCCGACATGCACAACAGATTACCCAACCTTTGGAGTCACGCACACATCACAAGGGGACAAAGCAGCAATGGAGAAAAAAACTTTGTCTTCAAAATACAGAATTCTCTCAACTGGCCGCTTCGGGCCCAGTCCCCAAACTGTCAAAACCACCAACAACCATAGCCACAAGACCCTGCCGCTGTCGGCGTCTGATCCCCCCCACCGCTCAGTCTCTCCGACTTCCTTACCCGAAGTCTACCGTTAACTCCACCACCCGCCGTCACTCTGCCCACCACAGGGCACGTCGAGCCTTTCCRGCGCCGCGGGCTTCACGCATAGCTTGCGGAGCTTGCAGCCGAGATCAAAGAGAGTGAGAGGAAGGGATTGCGGGAATTTATAGCGCAGAAGGCGGCAGAGAGGTTGCGCGAAGCACGGGGTGTRGATRGTCAGGACAAAAGAAGGGCAGACGTTCTAGAAGGGTCRAAGGAGGCGAATCGAATGTTCTGCGTGATTGGGATGGACCGTGGCCGTYCAAGTGGGGTGCGCTTCCTGCGGCCACCACATTGCCCCGACCATCCCAATCAGACAGCCAATCGTTCACAGGGAAAGGAGAAGGGGGGGATCTRACTTCGCTTAGAGGGAAGACGAAGAGACATRCAGGAGGGAGATGCCCAACAAGAAGGGAAGATGGCGCGGGGACGCAGAGCGGGGGACAGGTTTACGCGGCGCGCAAAAATTCAAAAACCGCCGCGCACCCAAAAATTCAAAATTCCTACTCCCGCTTAAGTCCCAACTGTTTCTTGCATTTCTTGGCGCRGCCGCTAACCGGCTACGCCAGACCCGAAGTACATTTTCTAAAGGACCAAAAAAAACGAAAATGAAACACGCTTTCCCCCATTATCTTGAATCCATACTTCGGGGTTCTACGTAGGATTCTCCCTTAGGGGTACGGGAAACCGCCGAGTGCGGATCCTGGCTTATCACATGCTCCATCTATTGGTGGGGAGTGACACCTGCTGGAACCAGGTCCAGTCTCTCTCTCTCTCTCTCTCTCTCTCTCTCTCTCTCTCTCTCTCTCTCTCTCTCTCTCTCTCTCTCCCCCTTTTTCTTTTTC